CGTTCTGCAGATGTTTCCAATCCTGATGGCACGAAGACACAGCCTGAAATGTCAGAGCAGTGGCTGTGCACAGAGTCTACAGCTATACTTGGAGCTAACAGCTGCTGAACAACACTGAGTGCAATTTTTTGGCTGCGCTGGAGGGCCTTTTTTCTACTTCTCTTTACTCCGGCTGGTGGGATCTCTCGAACTTTGACACATGAGTTGGCTAATTGGCCGGTGGCTTCTGGTTTTGGAACCGACCTCTGAGAATAACAACTAAGTTTCGTGCCCCTCAATGGCTTACGCTCACCATTGTCCTTTAAGAACATATGTTTTGTGTGTTGAGCAATGCCATCAATGTGAACCACCTGCACAACATTGGTACAAGGATTGCGTCCCAAGAACGTAATCATGACATTCAAACTGTTCCTAACCGACCGAAGCTTCTGGCGTGGGCAGGGTGGGGGCGTCAGGGTTCTTGCAACAGGCTGTCCATGAAGGGAGAAACTTTTGCCAGTAGTGGCCATCTACTTGAAAAAGGGAAACACGTGCACATATACTTTCTATGCATCCACGAGAATTGTAAGTAGATAATAAAACAATCATTGCTGGAATACAGTTGTAATGAACAAGGCCCCCGACAGAGGTTGACCGTGGCGATGCAAAGATAGAACATAGCACATGTGGAAATGTTGTTTTCGGTGGTTTTGGCGCGCGCGCGCGGCTTGTGAAGTTCAGCTCAAGAAACATGACCAAACGCGTCTCTACTGATGGGTGGCGGGAGAAATGCCCACTGCTTGATGTGCTCATTGACAAGCCTTCCGCTCGGGATGTGAAGCATCGACTGGATCAAATCCCGGCTATGCTTAGCAGTATGGGTAGCTTTGCATAAATTATTGTTTTTCCCCTTAGGCATTATGTTGAGCAAATTCATACTGGGTGAGCGTGCGAAAACTTTGTTTAACATTTGTTCAGGATGGGGCCGCAACTGAGGAATTCCTTGGCCATATTCAGCACAGGTTCCTGATCCCAATCCCTACATGTTCCAAAAGTGGGACTTCTGCCCGAAGTATCGCTTTACAACCACATACTGGCTATCCTTGGATGATAACGCATATCGACCTTTGACTTGCGGAGCAGAAGTTGAACGTTCTGTTTTGAAGCAGTTCTACCAGGAACGCTTTGCGCCTGTTACTGAGCTCTGCTTAAGCAATGATGTATTTAAAATTCTGTGTTCTGGTGAAGTTGATGCTGTTTCGATATGGTGGGTACTTGTTTATTTAGTTCGTTTAAAGTTGCTGATCCACACATTCAGGAAAGCCTTGTTGAGAGCGCCTGCCAATGGCAAATTGTCAAATTCATTCTCCGACGAGAACCTTGGGGCCTAATTGTCATTTACAAGCCGCGTGGCGCCGATGATTCTCAGGGATGGTCAATGGTGGCATTCAAACTGAATGAGGACTTTGAGAATGCAAGTGTTCAAGTGTGCTTTGGACTTTTAATATGTTGATTTGATAAATAGAAAAGGAAACCATTCAATTTACAGAACATTTATATACATATTTCCACTGAGAACCAGCAATCAGGCAATTCTCATGGGCAGAGTTTTTACCTCCGTGTCAAGAGCAATTGCGGCTGATGGAGCAGATTGGCACTTGTGGCAGCTGGCATGATGATTGAGCGACACATGCCCCGTTGCACAAATGCAAAGCTAGATAGCTTAACTACAAAAAAGCCCTCACAAAAATTGGGTTGTTGAATCCTTCACAGTTCAAGAGTTGAGAGTTTCTTTGGACAGGAGGGAAATGTGTACAAGTCTTTCACTTCAGGAGTTCATTGCCGTTTTTTTGGGCCAGGCGGCTCAAGCGTAAGTTGGGTCGCGCCCTTGCCACTTGTGATGGCCAAGCGTAAATTTGAACGATCTTTGCTGGACTCAGACACGGAGGAGGTGGGTGGACAAGTCTAAAATTGCGTTTGTTTTAACAAGTGGTAAGGTATGGGCCAGGGGCCAGCGTCAACAAATGTTTTAGCCTGCATGTGTAGGGCCCGGTGCTGTTCCAAGATGAAGATGATGAACTGCAAGTAGATGAAAGTGAACGTCCATGTTCTGGAGTCTTCGCATTCTATATTTTGTACTTTGCATATGTACATTTATATAAGTGTGTGTTTTAAAAATAGACACTGTGACACTATTATTTCTATTTTTGTGTTTTCCAAGATTGGTGGCAACATGTGAGGTAATGTTTGTGCAAGAACAAAATGCACAAACTAAGGAAAGACTCGGCGTAGAGGACTTGATCAGGATGTTGCCCAACCTGATGACTTACCGGGGTTGGGCGAAAAAATGAAGCCGCCGATGCTTGATTCATAACTTATGTCAAGTCTGTGTTGACTTGTTTTTGTGTTTCTTTTCAAGGTTAAGTTGCTTTGGAGCCAGTCAAACACTCCATGAGGCCGCCGCACCCAACACAGTTCCAGCAACTGTTCAACTGGGCAATGGTGCTCCTGTGTCGATTTGAGTGTCTTTGCCTTTAACCTTATCTTTTGCAGCTTCTACCAAGTTGAATGTGTTTTGCTGTTGATTTTCACTAAGATTTCACCAAACACATGAAGTAAGTATGCTTTTCATGTTTTTCAATATTGTGTTTAACTTTGGTCAACCTTGTCAAGGTTGCTTTTTGGAGCGGAGACGGTGAAGACCAAGTTGCAGAACATCAAGTTCAACCTGGACGCTTGGTTCACTGGGGCTGACTTTGCCAGTGCGGCCCTGCTTCAACTTCAGACTGCTATTCGCCGCAGGTTGCTACCCTGACGATGTGGCATTTTTTGAACATGTTTGCTGATTTTTATATGGCCCCTTCTTGAAGTGATAACCTTTTGCGGGGCAAGTCAAAAGCCTAAAAATGGATTTGGTCAGCCAAGGTATGGCTTCGACATTGATTGGATGACTGGCCGTGCTTGTGACATAGCAAAGCACTCGAAACAGTTGCTTAGATAATTAAACAAAGCCATATGAAGCTTGTTGGGGTAGGTTTGGGATGAATTTGATGGAGGACCCAAATTTGTGGTGTTATACTTCTTCTTGGCTTTTCCTTTTCCTTCAGAAACTGAGGTTCATCGGTGCCAATTTTCCTGATCGATGTATGTTTGGCAACATTTTTGACTTTGTGGATGACATCGAAAAGCCAGTCAAGAAGCGGAAACTGGCAACTTGACAGGAAATCAGGAAAGGTCTGTTTTAACCACCTAGATGTTCTCATTGGTCCTTCCCTAGATTAAACTAGCTAAGCGGATCGCCAACAACATCTCTCAGGTTCGATGCGTCCAATGCCTGACACATGGCAAGATGTGTCCCAGGAAGCCCTCACATGTGCCAGAGACACACCAGAAGGTTGGAACAGATGGGCCACCTTGCGTTCTCTTCTCGAAGTCCCTCAGCAAAGTTCAAAACGGACGAAGATGCAAATGATTATGTTCAAGTGTGCTTGATTTTAGCATTTTTCATGAAGCCTCAACTTGGACAACTTGAGGATGGGCAAGCAAGAAGGCATGGGCAACGTGCTGAAGCGGAGATGCCATGAGGTGTGGTTGCAAGATAAAATGGACCAAAAGCACTTTGTCAACATTTGGTGCAGTTTTGTTATTTTAGTGGTGACATTGTTCTTCGAGTAACAGAGGTACCAACAGTTTGTTGCTGATTGATTTCTTGTATCACGATTGATATTTAGTGAACCATCACTTCAGGCTGGATTGGTTCCTCTTCGAAAACGTTCCTGAGTACCCAACAGAGTTCCTGGCCAGTTTGGAAAGCAAGTATCGATTCCAATCCACTTTGATATCACCGCAGCGCTTTGGAAAGCCGATGAACAGGCAAGTCGGAGCCCCAAAATTGAACATATAATTCCTAGTCCATCATTGATGTGTTGGGAATGTTCGGAGGTAGTCTTCACCCCGGGGTTTGCAACTTTGGCATTGGGCAGGACAAGGATGTATCGGGTGTACTTTGACAAGTCGAAGTATGTTTGGCGTGGGCCTTCCTTACAGCAGACCCTGAGAGTATGCTGCCCACTGCAAGACCTCCGGATGAATGCAAATGATATGTATTGGATGAAACCGTCAGAGCTGGTACTTTGGATTTGTTTATTGTGTTCTTGTGTGTGTGTGTGTGTGTGTTTTTGTGTTTTGTCGCCATCATAGTTCTAGCATTTGTTTGCTTTGATCACAGGTCGATGCTGTGGGCAGGTCTGATCTCTTTGTCATGGGCCTTTCCAAGTCTGCACTCCAGTTCAAGAAAGGCTATGAGACACATCATTCCGACAGACTGGTGTGGGACTTTTGCTTTGAAGTCGTTTTTGATTTGAGGTATTAGTTTGTTTTGGTTGGTTTGATGGTTTGGGTTCCCTTCACACTTTTGGGTTCTTTTGGTTCCCTTCACACTTTGAGGTGTTGATTATTTTGCATTTTCACACTTTGCACCACCTTTCTCTCCCAAGGATTTGTCCCAAAACCCTGACCCTGGAGTCAAACGGGGGGCGATGCAGCACTGTGGATGGTTCTTTGCCGACGTTTGCGACCAGCAGCGGAAATTTGTACCTTGCAAGGGAGGAAATCATTTAATGTTCGATCTTTTCAAAATTCGTGCCACCAGCGTTATTGCCATATTGCTTGTCTCCTAAAACAATTGTTAGTGGAGCTTGGTGCAAATACCCACCTAATTTCTCGTGTTAATTCAACACGCAAACAAGGTTTGGAAATGATGGGTTGACAAAGTCGGCGTTCACAAACTAACTCAGGTGGAGTCAAACACATAACCGTCCTCTTTGTGGAGAGGAGATGCTTGGTGTGATGGGGCTGCCCATCAACAAAGAGCTTGCAGACGCAGCCTCAACTACACCTGTGTCCGTGAAGATGCTCTCTGAAAGTGCCAAGGTGAGCTCATATTTCGTTATACAATATGTGCTTTAAGCGTTTGTTGCTGCCTCCGCTCACTCATTGTTTGTCATCCCATACAGGTCACCATGGCTGGAAATGGCATGGATGTGCCGTCAGTGGGATTCGTATTACTTGCCGTCTTGCTGGCCAAATTTTGGCAGGAGTTTCATGATCGTTCCAGTTCACAAACACCCCTTAGCCAGGCTATGCTTTGCATTCAGCCACTTGAGGAGGTGGGCTCTTTCTTTCACGCCGGGGTGTGCAAGGTGTGCAACTTTGCATACTTCAAACCTAACGTGCTTCCTATCAGGGAAGTCAACCTGATGCTATGAGAAAAAGGAAGACAAGGTTGGGGACCTAAGAGTGGGAAGAACTGCAAAGATGCTTTCCTAAGTGCAACCTGATGCTGAGAAGATCGTGAGTTTAGAGTCTGTACATGCAACTGTGCTGCTGGGTCAAGTCCTTCACTTCTTGCTGTGTGGGATTAGCCAAAAAAACACCTGACATCGTAAAACATTCAGATAATCTTGCTATTCACAGAGATGTATGGTGTATAGTATATTTATATATATATTCTTAAAAAATGATACTGTATATGTATGTTTGTTGTAGATCAGCTATGATGCCATGTTTCAAGATGAGCCCGATGAACCATCCTCGCCTGAATTATTTCAGAATGAACGCAGTGAAGATGATGGCTCCGTGTTCAGAGATGAGCCTGACGAGAAGGAGGCATTGACCCGGCCAACATGTTCGAGTTTTGCGCTACAAGATGAACCTGATGAACTTTCAGATGAGCCATGTGGTAGTGGACCTTTCAAAGCTGAGCTGGATGAGCGCCCCACCCTGTTTAACATGTTTTGGGCGGGAAATAGTTTTGTGTGTTTTGATGACACCAAGGGGAATTCTGTCTCAGTGTTCCCTGGATCAGGTCAGATGAGGGTTCCGATGACTCAGCTTACTTCGCAGATTGTGATGAAGATGCGCAACGTCCTGAGAAGGGAGTGGTTGAACTTTGCCATTCCGTGTTGACCAAATTTCTCAAGGGGCAACTCCTGAAAGGATCTCAGGATGATGTTGTGCAAAATTCCAGGAAGAAGCGGCACTATAACAATTCGAGGAGGGCTGCTGCTGCGGAACATGCCAAAAGAATGAAGAGTCGAAGCGACCAAAGGACACGGGTACCAAGGAATAGTGAAGAAACCAGGTTTGGTTTGGCATAATTTCTTGATAGGATTTAATTTTGGATTCGATTGAGATAATTTTTGGCAGTTGGGTGATAGCTTCAGATTACCCTTTGGCATTGGCCAGTTCTGTGTTTCATTTCTTTTCGTTGCCGCTCCTTCTGAAAGGAACGGCTGCAAACTTTGATGTGCAAAAAATGCAAGTGCTCTCAGGGGGAATGCTACACCAACATGTCTGTCAAGGAAGTCAAGGATTTTCTTGACATTTTCGAATCCCGGACCAAGAGAGAGCAAGATGCGATACTTTACATGGCTTGTGAGAATGATGGGAATGCCGTGAATGCCCAACGAAAAGCATATATATTTTTGGGTCGGCCCCTGCGCCGATCATGCTTTGAAGCTTTGCTGGGACTTTCATCACACAGAGTGGACAAGATTGGAAGCATTGACATGCGCTACAAGGATGCAAAAGCACCTAGCAAACCTACTCACTTGACTGCCAGCATCGATGCGTTCGTGATGATCCTTTACAATTCAGTGGCAGAGCCATTGCCGACAAAGTTCCTAGGATGATTTGAGGAACATCCCATTTAGTTGTAGTAGCCATAGCTATTTGTTAGGGTGTGGTCACCACAATGATAATGATGTGTTTGTTGAAAAACCTGGAGGCTTGTACGTCTTGGAAGGGCAAAGCACACCAAAACTGTCAAAGCGGAGTCTGGAACTGACCATTGGGAAGGCGGAGTTCTATGCCAATCAGACTTTGAAGAAAATGATGAGGAATTAGCAGACTTTCTTCAAAGCAACACATCTTTCTTGCTGAACATGACCAAAACTGCAGCGTTCACTGTGCCCTGATTGTAAAATGTGCGAGCAATATTCTTGGCACGTCCCCCTACAGAAATTGATCTTCAACTCGTCTCGTCTCGTCAAACATTAAGGATTTGAGTGGGTTGATGCGGAAGTATCTTCCACCTGGAACCATCTACGATATGTACCAGTTCTACTGCGGATGGTGCTCAGCCCATGCTGTGGAGCAGCAAGCTTCGCACCAAGGCATAATTCAGATGTAATTTCTTTTGGTTTGTCAAGGCTGAATGATCTAAAGAAATTGTCTAAAGAAGGGGTTGTAAGAACTTGGAACCCAGGTATGGTACTTTTCTCAGACGCTGGAACTCAAAGTGGACAGCTGTCCTCAAGTTTCGTATGGCTTCAGAGTTTTCACAGTGTGACATTTGTCAAGAGCTCAAATCCCAGTTTCCTGGCATTGTAGGGCATTTGTTGTTTGTTCTTTGTTGACATGGGCTAGGGCTTTCCTGGCTAGGGCATTTGTGATTTGACATAGGCATTTCCTGGGTGCTTCTGTCATGTTGACTGGCCCAACTAGGTTTCAAAACAAAGACCTGCGTATGGATTCCCGCCTCAATGCCCTCAAGTTGTACCGGGGTCACTTGATGGCTCAGTACGCAGATCGCTGCGCGATCTGGAGCCTACGAGATATTTCCGGGCCGCACCTATCACGGACGGCCGTTTGCGTGACGGATGGGGCCGACCAGGTAATTTGGCATTAGTGTTCAATAAAGGTTTTCACACTGCCTATGCCAGTGTTGACCAAGAAGCTTGTCACAAACCAACATAAATATATGTTTTCTGGCATTGTTCAAATCAGAGATCATCATGCTTCTAAGGCCAAGTACATGATCCCCAGAAGTCCAAATCTACAAACGGCCTATCGGAGCTCAAAACAACAGCGGCCAAAGATGAAGATTCACGGAATCTGGAGCTTCGGCTACGTATTGAGGATTGCTGTGCTCGAGGAGAATACGTACCACGGAAGCTCATTGGTGCAAGAATTGCTGGCGTTGGCTTTGGAGGACATCATGACCATCTCCAATGAAAAGCAGGTAGCTGCGCCTGATACATTGGTTCTGGTCGGGGACAACACGGTCAAGGAACTTAAAAATAGCATTCTATTTTCAGGTGCAGCCAATCTTGTCAACCACTCCCGTCTTCGGTTTCTCCCAACCAAATTTAGCCCAGATTTTGATTCTTCTTTGGTGCCCCTGGTTACCCTCCTTTTGGGATTTGTCAACCATGGATTTTACTTCAAGTTCAAAACACATCAAGCTAAGGTTTTGCGCCTTGATGATGTACAGGGTCAGTCATACTCATGACATCATTGGTGTTTTGGCCGGCTTATTAACTTTTAGCGTTTGGGCATTTTTTTGGACTTTTGACCCAAGGGATTTGGTTGGTTTAGGCCGGGGGCCGGCGGTCCTGACCACTGAGATCAATTGTGGGGATTGTTGTCCAGAAGATTGGGTCGATCTACAGATCTTTACGATGACGTCAGCGTTTGTGATGCGATCCGTTCGGAACTGACCAAGCCTTCACTAGCGTCCTGGATCAATGGCAAAGTGATTGTGGAATGCATGCGGAACTACCGGGACTGGAAAGCGCATGTCAAAGCTCATTGCCCAATTACCTTTGATCCTGGGATTGGTGTGGGTATTGTCTGTCTTCTTTTGGGGGCTACTTATGCCAACAAATGTTTGCTAGACTCTTTCATCACGGACTTTCAAAAGCCGGTGTATTTGTATGTCATGTGAGGAAGGGGGATTGCTTTTGGACAAAACGGCGAACCATTTCTTTCTGTTTTGCAAACGACGAGGCAAGGGTTGAACAAAGTTGAACAAACAATTACAGTAAAACGTTGCAACGATGTTGACCCGTATTGACCCAATAAACGTATCTCTCCAGGAATTGAATTTCATGCTTTGTTGCAAACCCTGACAGACATCCCGAATCACTTGGACATTGATGAAGGGACCAACCGGCGGCGAGAGAAACAAGATGATGACACCTTTGTCCTTGTGAAAGAGTACATAAGTTCCACAGAACTCCGGCAACCTCCATTGTTGGTTCTCACTCCAGCGCACAAAGCTACATATTCGCTTTTCACAAACCGAAACTTGGCTTTGCTTGAGGTTTATTCGAAGATTATCTACCACGTCGGTCCCAAAGTATATAAAGTTGCTTTACAGTGGACTTCCACTCTAGTAATTGCTTGGGTGTTTCCGGCTTCAATGATGAGGAGAGATTTCAAGACGGCCGTTGAAACCTGAAGTGACACAGGGATGGCTACAGCTTGCAAGCATTTTTGAACAGTTGCTGGGGGGCACCGAATCAACACGACGGGCGGCAGCTTACCTTCGAGGTTTGGCCCGTGATGAGTTGCCTGTTCACGCATTGCATCCGTTGAAGTGGCACGAAACTTCTGATTTCCTTGCAGATCTCATTCCACTTCAAACGGCTGAGCCCCACCCCTGCGTTCTTGCAGTTCTTTGCCCCAGTGTCCCTCTAAGGGTGGTTTGGAAACGGGGTCTCAGATAGACGTTGACAAGATCATTGTAAAATATGTTTATTTTTACTTCGTGTAATTTTCCTCCCATTGATTTTGGCCCTGTTTCCTTTCCTTTGCCTCCAAATTGCTTATGTCTTCAAACGAAGAACATGAGCTTCAATGCAGGCGCCAGAAAAATAGGTAAGCGGTTGACATTTAACTGCAATGTTTGCGAACCTGATGCAAGGAGCATGCTATGTGTGACATAGAGTACCTTTCAATCAATTGTCATTTCCACTTCTGCCTGAGGTGAGTGGTGTGGCCATTCCACTGAACCTTTTGCCGCTCCTGTGACAAGTGGCAACGCACGCGCATGAAAACACGTCCAAAGGATCAGACCCACAAAGATTTTGATGGCCTCCGACGCCAATAAAATCATTGTGGTCAGGGTGCCGGACCACAATGATTTTAGACAAACTTAAAGAACCCACAGTGATTTTTGGGTTTCAGGAAAACCTAGATTTCTTTGTGGGTAGATAAATTTCATATAAAATCTTTGTGGTCAGGCACCCAGGCTACAAAGACTTTATGGGCGTCCTGGGGTGATCAAAATCATTGTGGTTGCCATGCCCAGATGGAGTGACTCATCCTTAAAGTCTTTGTGGTCCGGCTGCCGAACAACGCCGATTTTAGGTTGAGTCGACTCATCCTTAAAGAAAAACGACGACGAATTTAGGTTGAGTCGACTCATCCTTAAAGCAAAACGACGACGAATTTAGGATGAGTCCACTCATCCTTAAAGCAAAACGACGACGATTTTAGGGATGAGTCCACACATCCTTGATGGAGAGGATGACATGATAGTGGCTGATTTTTATATTTGGAAACTGCTGCATATGGGCCTCAAAGCTTATGACCTTGAGATGTTTGGTACCGAATGAAATTAATTATTAACAGATTGGTTTTGTTTCAAGTTGAAGTTTCTGTTTTTTGCCAGTCGGTCAGCCTCATGGAGTCTCCGTTGCTGCGGCAAAATGTGGCTGCAGCCCAAGCCGCCTTGTGCATCATTCCCGGAAAGAAGGAACCAAAGGCTGAAGATAAGGTGGCGAAGGCAGAGCAGAAAACGGAGGCCAGGCTTTAGCTGCTAGCGTTAACTTTTGGGGAGGGCTTGGGCTTGGGGCACTCGGCACTTCATGTTTGTTACACACATATATTATATATTCTTGCAGGTAAAGTCTGAAGATCTACCTTCCAGCAAGAAGCGTAGGACTGAGTGGCAAGCGGGATTGAGCAAACTTCCCGGGGATACCACATTGGTCAAGGACTGGGTTGAATTGATGAAAGTCCAACATTTTTTTAAATAGCCACCAAAACCTCCTAGGGCCTTAGGGTAGATGTCTTGCTTTTTTTTAAAGTTGAACCTTGAAGCTATCAGGAGATCCTCGACTACTTGTCAATGTTTAGTGAAACGGGCTCCAATCAGACGGGGGAAACTCCGGTGATCCACCCAGCAGACATGCTGATGCAAGCTTTCAAAGATGAGACATCTGCATCTGAGACATTGACGAGAATGCATACGTTTCTTGAAGAAGCTCTCAAGGTGCATGGCATGAGACTTGATGAGGCCATGCGGCCGGAGCTTTTCCTGCTTCTAGCACAGTTTTGGGTCCCACTAGTCATGCTATTTTTATGTTTCCTTTTTTACCTGCAATGAGTTTTGTTTTTAGAGCAACATCCACACAAGGATGTCGATGATATCAAGAAGGCCAGTCAATTGTCAGCTGCCTTGCCTATACACGTCTTCAACATCAAGGTCCCTGATGATGGATTGCCTTCTGTGTCAGATTGGCTGACCTGCTGCATTTCGTTCATATTCAACGGTTCCCGATTAGCTCGAGAGCCTATTGACGTCAATCTCTCCTTGAAGGTGGAAGGCAATCGCAAGTTTGACATCAAAAAGGGCTTTACTCGAGTGATCCTGGGCAGTGTTCATTATTATATATATATATTGCATAGTTTTATGTTCTTTCATCTGGAACAATGCTTTGTGTAAATTGATGTGTTTACCTTCAATCGATGTCATGTTTGATTATGGTTGATTGCAACACATTTTCTTAAGTAAGGAGTTGCCCTTTGTTGTTGCTCCTCATTGCTTCGGATCTTGACCCCATTGCTGCCAAGGACCTTCTTGTTGTCAAACTGTTTTGTCATGAATACAAGGACGAATACATTTACCACATGATTGGGACTAGACTATGACCTGACAGGACCTCATCTTGCCTCTTCTGCCGGCGATCTGGGGAATGTTTGAGATCCCATGCACTATCACATGCAGCACCGATGTTGAAAGCATTAGCTTCGAAGCAATCCAATTGAGTACTCAGGGCGCAGAGAGACAGCGAAAAGACGTAGCTGGGACAACGATGATTATGATTATGGATTGTTTCTTGTTCGTCATGTTTTATGATTGTTAAATACTTTTTAAAATCTCAAATGTTGATTGCTCTCATTTGTGTTTGTATCTGAGATTATGAAAGTGGCTCTTCGTTTCGAGAAACTCATTCAAGAGCGCAAAGCCCAAGAGTCCACCAAAACCCAGACGGATGGCGACATCCTCAACGACATCATTTGCAGTTACAATTCGTTCAAAGCGAACACTGCTTTGAAACGTTGGCAAATATCCCCGGACCAACACTCCGCGATCTTGGGGGTGATAGTGGGTATGTCGCATGAATCCAGACAACTGGTTCGTGCACACCTTGATTTCAACAAGTGGGAAGAGAGTGGCTACTTGGCAAAACAGTTTTGATTTCGTTTTGGTTGTCGTTTTTAGATTTGGTAATTAGAGTAACTCGAGAAATCAGCCTCTCAGGATATAATGAGTCATTGCTTCGTTCCAAACGTCACCAGCTCAACGAGTCTCCGAAAGGAACCACAGGGCTTTGGAAGGACATTCTCACTGCAGCATTGATGATTTGGAGTTCTATCTTTTGTCTTGGGTTTAAGGTTTAATGCAATCTGTTCATTGATTTTGACTTCCGGATAAACCATACCCAGGTAACACCCCAAGCACAAATCATGGTGTTTCAGAAGTACAATCTTTGGTGGAGCCTCAACGTGAAGCGTGTCAAGAAGTCCATGAGAGCACGTTTGAGATGGCAGGAACAGCAATGGGCGGCCAACGTTGATCACTGCTGCGTGTGTTCTTGGGTTTTGAACGAAACCCAAAAGAAAAGCAACGCAACCTGTCTTAAAACTGGAAACACATGATGCATCTATTGTGTTTTCTACCATTTGCATATGTTTTCACTGGCCCTGTTTGAGTGGTCAAGGTGACTGAACCAATGATGGAGGCTATGTTAGAGGCGTTTATGAATGGGTGCCGTGGCAAGAGTCACAGCATAATGTTTGCTCTTTGTTTATTAGACAGGTTTGGTGTCTTTTTTGACCTAATGATGCTTTCTGATGTTATTTGCATGTCAACTCAGGGACTACAGCCAGGAGTTGGAAGCTCTCATCACCTCAAAGCCGAACAAGGTCACAGTAGAGATGTTTGGGATGTTCCAAGACCACATCTCAAGGGCAATCCAGAAGGTTGTCACTGGCACTGGTGACGTTTCCAGTACAGAGGTCGAGGATGCCGAGGAGCCCACCGCAATAAAACTAGGTGAACTTGCTTGAACGGTTTCAAAGTGGTTTGCAGCAAATATTATACAGTTCTTGTTTTACAATAGTTAGATCCGAATGATCATGATCAGGAGAACCTTAAAAAACGCCGAGTACCAGGTGGCGTGCACCAATTTGGCCAGCGATTACAAGGAAGCTGTTTCTTACAACCTGAAGCGCAACAAGGTCAGGATCTGGAATACAAAACCATTCTAGTTGTAGTGGTTTCTTCCCAAAATATTGGAAGATAACTTTTGAGTTGCCCCAATGTCTTTCCGGTCTGTCCACAATAATCTCGTCCAGGTTGATGGGCACCGACATGTTGCGAAGGCGGATTCTCAGAAAGTTTTTGGATTTGTGTTCATGGGTTGTGAAGTGCTTTGTTGAAATACAGGGGGGACACTGTGTTGGCCATCAATCAGGTGGTGCACATGAAGGCTCAGCTGGAGATTGGCTTACAAGTCGCTGAGCGCTTCATGGAGAAGCGATGTTTGATGATTTGCGGTTCCGAAAAGTCACAGTCGCAAGGGACTACAGGGCTTGTGCGCAAGGTAGTGGCAGAAGCATCTGTCAAGTTTGAGGGGGGTTGAGCTGTCTAAGATGCATCACATTGCATACATCGACTACAGCAAGATGGGTCGGCTGACCGTCCCTGACATCGATTCTTGTGCCAAGTGGACGCACAAAGTGCTTTCCATGAACGATGACTTTAGCCACTTGGCTGTTCTGGCTTTTGATAAGATTGAAGTATTTTGTTATTTTGCCTGATTGTATTTTCATGGAAACCCTGATTTGGTCAAACCAAGGCATGGCTCTAGCAGTGTGTCCCATACTAGCTGGCGAAGGAGTGCTTGGTGGCTTGCGAGGAGAGTACAGGCGCATTGAGGACAAGCACGTCTCGATGGGTATGGAGCTCAAGAACGTGCAGATTACTTTCGATCTCACTGCAACACACGGCAACAGGACTGGCTATTGTTTGTAATATGGTTAAGTTGGGTTGCAATTACTTACTAACCGTTCATGTTTGTTTGTCAGGAACATGCCTTGCAGCCTTCCTGCGTGGATGATTGTGCTCGAGTCTACGTTGGGTTGCAAACAGGGGACATTGTGGAAGGCTCCTCGCAATGCAGAACGTGATGTGAAGGATAGCAACGCATTTTGCAAGAATGATTTCTGGCAGCTTGTGGCATGCAAACCCAGTGTGCCACTCCCACCAGGCAAGCAGCCAATACATAGTAAGTGTTTTTTTTCTGTGCGTGTTTGTTGTTCGGGTTTTGCTTTTGTTTGTTTGTTTGTTATGCCTTTGGCCATGGGTCAGCACAAAGGTGAGTTCGTGACTCCTGAAAGTGGAACCTTTCTCAGCCACGAGCAAGGTCGGTCTTTGACAGAAACTAGTCATTAAAACTAGCAACACCTTGCAGGTGTGGTTATTTACTAGTGTGCCACCCCCACAAAAATATGGTGTTTGTTCCTTTATGTTTGCTCAGGACAAAGAAGAGACCGCCCAATGGGTTGCATCGCCAGCTACGTTGAAAGCCATCTTGGAATCATGCCTTGCACGTGTCAGCACTTTGAAGGGGCAAACTTTGCTGGTCCATCACTACACCCAGTATGATGGAAACTTTGAGAAGGCTGGGTTGGGGAGAGAACATATTCAGCGTGATTGTTTGGCACATGTTTGTGTCTATATTTGTTCTGTTATTATTATTATTATTAATTTATTATGTGTGTTATTTATTGTTCATGTGCTTTTGATTGAAGTCCTTTAGGTCGTGCTGGACGTCATGGCGGACATGCAGGATGTGTGCCACATTGCTTGCTTCTCACAAGTCGAGCAACCAACCATCTTCCAGTATGCATTGCTGCAAGTTAAGGACAAGTTGCTGGAGGACATTACGTTGGTTTGGGAAACATATAAAGATTTCTACAGTAAAAAGCAACTTAATACACATTATAATGTATACATATGTTATACGCCCAGATGATTTTTCAACATTGGCATCTTAAAGGAGTGGAAGAACAACCGGAGCCTGATCTCCAACATGTCTCCCAAATATGTGGCTGAAGCTGATCTATCTGATCTTGTGGACCCCAAGCGTCCCGTCCTCAAACTATGCACCATGACGCCAGAAGGAAATTTGCAGATCCCGGAGTCTGAGCGGAAGAAATGGCTGAATGACCCAGTACGAAGTGGCTTGTCATGGTGCAAGTTTTTGATGTTTGAGAAATTGGTGGCCACAAGGTACAATACCCCCAAGAAATTCCAGTTGCAATATCTTGCTGATGTTTTGAACACTATTCCACTAAGACCCTGATTGGCGCAATCGGCTCAAGAACTTTGACGCCATTTTCGCTCCCACAGAACATCGTCCAACCCCAACACCCAGTTCCATGGAGACGGACTTGGCGAAGGAAGTGGTAGAGGAGGCTGCGACGGTCACTACGTGTGAGACTCCGCCGTCCATGTCAATGGAAGATTTCAAGAACAAATATCCAGAAGTTCAAATCACTTTGTCGTTGAACTTGGGGGCAGATGTGGTGGTCAGTGTCGTCAGCGACAAAGTTTTTTTGAGTTCGGCAAGCGCCTTTCATGTGGCTGGTGCAAATTCAACATCTCCAAAGCCGCTATTTCTCTACGCAGGAGGATCATGGATTTCAGATGGCAACAAAGCCAAGGATTGGCTGGCGAAACCTGGAAATGAAGGGAAGGGAGTTGAGTTCAGACTTGAGTCGGCAAAGAGTTTGGTTCCTTGGCTTCACTAATTTGTGTGGATCTAGTTGTGTTTTCGTATGTGTTCCAAGCGTGTGTTCCATATTTTATATATTTGCTTTGGAATGCTTTGGATCTCAACATTGTTCTTCCCATTGAACTATGGTTTAATTCTCAACATGGCTATTCTTGCTGCAGGTGCTTCTGGAGGAGCAAGGGCCGAAGGGAACTTCAGACAGTGCACCAATGACGCTTTACCAGCTCTACATCATGCTCGAGAAGAGAGGCATTGTGAACTTCAAACTCACATCTCATGATTGTGAGCGTCCGGCAGAAGTGCAGAAGGGAAACGTGGCTGACACATTGGAGGTCTCGCACACCAGCCACAGTGTGTACAAACCGAACCCTGTGCAGCAAAAGCACGTGAAAGCCTCAAACCTGGGCGGCTTCTTGAACTACAACACCTTGGAAAAGTCGAAGTACCTGGAGCTGGTGTGGCGCAACTTGGACCACATATATCAATTTTCTATTGTTTCCTTTGTATTTGACATCCCTCTATATCCTTCTCAAGGTATGCGACACTATGGAAAGGAGAAAGTCTTGGGGCCCGCCAAGCCCCTTTGGTTCATCAAAGGAGATGGCTTCCATATGGAGGCCAACAAAGTGTATGAAGTCGCCTAAGTTTCACGGTTGATCTCTTGGATCTTTTGGGTTGGCCTGGGTTGAAAGGCACAAGTCGAGCCTTTCTTTTTGAAGGCCATTGAGCAGCAGAAGGAATGGGGATATGTTGAAAAAAGTGAAAAAACGCTCAGCAGAAACGAAGAGATTGTCTAGTCTAATGTTCTTTCTTGAAATAATTTGTGGCTCTTATGACTCTTACGTGTGTGTGTGGGGTACATCGGTTGCTGCCAGCATGAGCACATATTACCATATGGAGCTTGTTCCAGATCAAGGTTTCACTTTGGTGTGTCCTGGGCTATATAGTTGATTTGTGTTGTCACGCCATGTCGATGCATCATTGCGTGAACTTGGACCCTCAACCATCAGAGATTGACGACCGCCTCATGGCAAAATACTTGGAAAAGGGTGTGCCGCATGATGTGGCCAAGAAAACGACTCAAACCTCGCCAGAAGAAAGCAAGAGGAAACTTGAGTTCAAGGAGCCGATAGTGCATGAACCCGTCTTCTTCCAAGCCAGCAAAGCGTTGGGGAAGTTCATGTTGACAGCCGAGCCCGTCTCCCGGTTGATTTTGTGAGATTGAACTTGTTTGTTTTGGTCGTTTTCGACAACGAAATCCAAAGTACGTTTAAGTTTTTACTTTGTGAAGACTAGTGAGGTGACTCCGGCCCTTGGGGCAATTGCGAGACCCCTTCATACTCGTCGGGAATTGTTTCCTGATGCCGCGGCTGAGCAATGTGAGAAGGGCAATGAACAAGAGTTTGACAACCGGTACCCTTTTCGAGATGGCTACGCAACACCACCTGAGATGTATACGGATTCACAAGTTCCCTGGACACCTTCTGAGCCGATGCCTGAAACCAAGCCTGTGACGCCTGAGCCATGTGCAAAAGCAAAGGGCCAGATGTGGAAAGATGTTTGGAAACCATATTTGGATTCCAAAGCGGAGGCCAGTTTTGGGTTGGAAACATTTTGTTTTTTTGAGGGGATTTGTTTGTATGGATTGTTTATAAAAGTTGTCGCTGTTGCCCTGAGAAGGTTCCTTCCATGCCTGTCTCCCTGTTGGATGATGTTGATGCTCGTCCCATACCATTATCAATTTGTGATATTTCCCCAAACTTGTATATTATGCTCAGTTACCTCCCAAACAATCAAGGAAGCAGCCACCAAAAGCCCATTGAGCAAGCCCAGTTCTTCACATGGCCATGAAGTTGCAGCTCCCTATGTACCACAACACCAGGTTCTTGATGATGAAGCTGGGGGGTGGTGACCTTCTTGGAGATGCAGCGCAACAATTGGTTCGCGACAATGTTGCAAAGCCAGATACGACACCCGGCCAGCAAATTCTTGGAGATGAAGCGCAACAATTGGTTCGTGACAATGTTGCAGAGCCACATACGTCACAGGGCGAGCAAAGTGGTGGTGATACTACGCAGGAGTGACGCAATGAACATGAAATGTTTACAATGTATATATTTGGAACTTAGTTACTTTGGTTTGACCCTCCATGGCCATGACACCTTGACAGGATGACGAGCAGGAACCGAGGAAACGTCGCCGCATTAACAAGGGCATGAGCCCAAACACCAAAGAGAAGATCTTAGAGCAACAGTTGACGCAAAAGCGTGAGAACTCTCGAAAGTGGCACCAACAATATGTTTCCAAGGGAGTTATTTGTCCAATTTGGCAACCTTTAGTTTTCTTGTTCTTTGCATTCTGGGGCGGTTGTCTCTGATCCCATTTGCATCTCAGGTTCCACGAGGGGGCCCGAAGCCTGACAAGAAGGAGGAGAAGAAGGAGGAGCAACCCGAAAAGAAGATGTCAGCTGCGCACAATGCTCGATGGAACTTTGCATCTTGAAGTCGTTTGGTTATTTGACCAATCGTTTGAATATCGTACGGTTTTGAGTTTTTTCTATGCGCAACAACAACAACATGCAAAGGTACGCAAGCTCACCCAGGAAGGCAAATCGATGAAGGAAGCAAATATGGCTTGGATGGCGTCTGCTGAGCGGGCCGCGTTGATGGCTGGTAGCAAAGGAGTACAGTTGTGAGACCACAAACATTAAGTTTGTGAACTTTTCTTGAATGGGGTGGCCACATGTGTATCTCACATGTATGTGCCTTCTTTGGGTAGGTTTCAATGTGTGATATGCACACAAGGATTGCGCACATGTGTTGCGCAAGTTACTGTCATGCAACATGTTCAAAACTGTATCAACTGTTCCAGATGTCAGTTGTTTTCGCCGGCGCAACCATGAAATCAATGTGATCGGGATATATGACAAACAACGCAGATCAACACAGTAAACAAGTGCAGCGGCTCAGAGTATGTATTGGAATTAATGTTGAAGGTGTGACACTCATGTGGGAAGGAAATTCAGACTTTTCAGGTGTTGGTTTCCTTTCGATGCCATATTGTGTCAAAGACTTTGTGGAACTAAGTGTACGTATGTCGCCTTGGCGTTTGGCATGGCTATTTCTTCAATTTCCTACTTTTGCAGCTTCGGTTGATTGATTTGTTTTTGCAGGTAAACGTTGCACACGTGTTGTTTTTCGTGTTTTTGAGGCAATGTTGGTTTTGTATTGGCTACCACTGTCGTTGGTGATGACCAAAGTGTGATGATGCTGGGACAAAGAACACGTGTTTGTGATTCGACCCACAAAAAATAACATTTCACCGTTGGGACCATTTTTTGGGGTTGCCCCGTCAGCCCTGATATGCCTTCTTGAAGTTGTTCCATGATGGTTTTCCAACTACCACCAACAACTATGAACTATAGGTTTCCATACTCCAAACAAGGACTGGTACAATGGACAGCTATCTTGTCCTGCTCTTCGTGATTTTGCCGATGATTTTTGGGTCTCTGTGCACGGTGGGACTTCAATACGTTTGGCAAATAATTCGCAGAAGAGCTTCGAATGGACGTGGTGATCCAAAGTTGGAAAAAAACCATTTTGGTAGCATCACCAAAGAGTACTGGAACTAGTGCATGCCACCAAAGAGTGGTCTCAACGCATGATGGTGAAGTTCCAAAGTACATACATGTATCTTCAAGTGGAAAAGCACACAGAAGTGCAACGTGTGCTGGAAAGAACGCATCAAAATTTGTGATGTGCGCCAAATGCTTTAAATGACAAAGGTTGCCTTGGTGGAAAAAAAAAAGTGTTCCGAAGCCGGCGGTAAAGTAAAAACCAAATAGATCACCGACAGGTTTGGGTATTGCTATGTTTCAGCTCTTACGTAGTAGTTCCATGATGAAGTACTTCGAGTGATTCCACCAGCCAGAGTGTATAGAAGGAAAAAAAGCCCTCTGGCGCAGCAAACTTTTCCCAAAGTTCCTAAAGCATCAAGCTCACACCAGTATGTGAGAGAGAGAGAGAGAGACCAATGATCAAGAGACCAGCAGCGGACAAGAGAATCCCATTCATGCTTCCCAATCTCCCTGATGGGTGGGTGGGAAAGCGCACGTCACCTTTTCTTGCAAGCCTTGTCCCATGCTTTGCCATATGATATCAACAAGTATGTTGACAGCTGATTGTTTGAACTTGACAGCCAGTTACAACGAAATTAACTTACATACCAATCACGCGGAGCATTCAATGCATGGGGGGACAAACACTACACACTTTTCAGCCGTGGCTCTGCTCGGCCATAGAGAAAGGTCCAGCAGCAATATCGTGAACCTTGAGACATGACAAGTCACTAATGAATTCTAAAAGAATAGAACTAGAACAAGCTGAGAGTTGAAGGTAACACGACTCCACCGTTATTTCAACCAAGAAGCGTGGCGCCGCCAGCCGAACAGTCAGCTTGGAACTGCAGCAGCTCTGAATGCACATCCGTCAGCCCAGAAGAAACAGTCGTGTACCGATGGTGCTCGTTCATCCATTTCTGTGTGAAGTTTTTGCCCTTCACTTCCCTTGAAGTGAGATAGCGTAGGTCCAAGGATCCCTCAGATGACACACTGCAATGAAAACATCACCCCTGAACAGCCGTAACAAAACATGCAGCGCACTTCAATTGTCAAAGAACTTGTTGCGTGCACAAACAAGGACCCTTCACACAGCGCCTGTTTGTTTGCAAAGTCCTGAGCTCTCTCCAAATAGCCAGCCATCTTGGCCAAATCGTGGTCAATCTGAATCTCCGCCTGTGCACTGGTCGCGTGCGCAAGCTTGCTCGCCAACCTCAGGGAAATGAGTTCGACTGATTGCTCCTAATCAGAAACCTCCTGACAAACCATTTGACTGTGAAAGTCAAGGAGCTCCTCTTCAGCGCGGTCCCGCTCCTCCTCTGCCTAGCAGGCTTCGACTTCCGTCCGTCTCAAAATTGGGTCACACAAACCATCGCAACGCCGTCCTGCTTGTGGTGTTTGGCCACTGCAGACCTAAAGCACGCTATGCGACTAAGCTCCACCGGAGGCACGGAGTTCTCAAGCACTTCCGTCAATTCAGTGTCCAGGTGTCTGCATAGAAACCTGAAGCCCAGCACCAGCACATGAATTGAAGGGTTGCCACGACAATCAAGAACCTGACCCTAACACGATCTTTTTTAGTGCTGACTTCCTGCAAGGCACGCCCGTTCAATTGCATCTCGTTGGGTCGCAACAAAGCTCGCAGGGAACGAAGATTGAAACACCTCCATCGCTGCCAGGAATGCTGCGCAATTGCGTTGGCAACCCTCCTGGGCAAGCTTATGTGTAGATCAGATTCAGCCAGCTTCCAACAGAGGTCAAAAGGACACAACAATTCAGCTCTTATGTGTCCTCTTGGCAACTCTTGGTTTTTTCGAGTGGCAGGAACAAACACCGCATCGTTTGCCCCACCATGAGAATCTATTCACTATTCTGTAACATTCTGTCACTGCACTATGCTGCTGAGAATCCACATAGGCGTACGGCCAGGGCTTTCTGGACTTCCGATTGAGCGCAAGCCAATCTGCCTCCAGTCGCTGCACCAACAAATTCAAAGTCTGCGGACTGTTTGTCAGCTCTTTGCTCCAGCTGGTCAGCTGGCCAGCAGCCGAGCAAAAATCCCTGTT